TTTGCTGTATGATGGGCATTGACACCCCAACAAGATTTGAGGCACCCCAAGACTCTTAATTTGTTGTTTGTTCAACGTAGTACCTTCATTTTGTGTTGAGCTTCCTCTCTCTAGGATGGTGGAAGGTATTCGTTGTCTGTTAAATAGTTGAAACAGGCAGAGATGTTACCTTGTAATATTATTAATTTGTTCAAGGTCATTTTATTTTGTTGGCAATAACAAAGATATTATTTTATCAAGGTAGCACTTTCATTTTCAGATTCCTCTTGGTCTGTTCTTGAATTAGAGATGGATTTTGCCTTGAGTGCAATACATCACTGGTCTTGTTCACCATGTAACAATTTTCATTGTAAAGAGTAAAAGTTCAAAAAAAGATTGGCTGGAAATAACGTGTTGGTCTATGATTTTCTGCAACTTGAGCTTCAGTTTAACGAGTTGTGATCCAAAAGATTGTATTTAGCTTCAGTTGTGATATGAAAGCTCCATTTTGGTGATGGTGGATTAAGTCTTGTTTTCCGGTTTTGCAAGTTGCCATGAGATGAGTTTCTCCCTTGTAATGACGGATCACAGATGTATGATTGAGTTATTTGGATCTGATATAATTTACAGATGGGAGTTCTATCTTTTTTATAATTTCTTGAGTGTGTAAGTATCTACTCAGCTTTTAGGTTTCTGCTAACTTAGTTACCAGTATCAGACATTAAGATTATTTGATAAAAAGTTAAATAGCCAGTTTACTGTAATGTGCCCTTGAATATTTTATTGTAGCCTGTTATTGGTGGTAGAAATACAGCCATTACAGACTAAAATGAGAGTTCCAAGAGACCTGTCTTACTTCGCAGTATAAATCATTTGGTGCACTGCTCACCGCTCAGAGGAGAGAACTGGTTGAGAATATTTTGGTTGCATAAGATTTTGTCTTAGGGCCCTTTACTTGGTCTAAAAATCTATTTTAGGACTCTTGATCCTTGATTTAAACCATTAAATGGATTGCTTTGCAAAACGGTAAGCCGTTGCTTTCATGAATTATTATCACTCGTATCTAATCTTCCCATCTTTCATTCTCAGACTTGTGTCTGCATCTTCAGTCATCAACTATCACAGACCCCCTGTGAGTAAACTGTAGTTGCCTTTCCTTGCATAACTTTTGCAATCCATCTATATCTCTATTAAAGATGTAAATACATACATAGGTACACAGCTTTCTGGAACTCTCTTGCACTTTAAAAATCTCTGAAGTGAGTGTTAACACACAAACTCATGTTCTGGCCTTGATCTTTGAGTCTCCGTATTGTCTTTTATTTTCATTAGAAGTGGAGAACCACATGCATTTTGAAAGAGACTATTTAAAAGGGTTTAAAAAAAAAAAAACATTGATGTTATTGTCAGTGCATGTGAGATTCCCTTGTTCTCTCCATCTTCTTGTTTGTGTCCTTTTTTGTTATTCCTTTCATTAGGATTAATGCCCTCTCTAGTATCTGTAGAGGTAAATCTATAGAAGGTGCACGTGAACATCATCTCTTCCGCTCCTTTGTACAACAATCGCTGTATTTTTTCTTAGTTATTGCATTTCCTTTTATTTGTGATTTTCATTTGTTAAAAAAGGAAAATTACAAACGCTCTATTTCTGGCATCCAGTTGCAGCAGATTCTGCATGCAAGTTGGGGTTTCCATTTAAACCATTTCAAATCTTTTTGAAAGATTTATGGACATTGAGATGAGGGGAGAGGAGAAGAACCTTATCCCTTGTTAGTCCATATTCCTCTGGGCCATATACATTTATATATATGGATCCTTCGATGAGGAGCTGTCCTCATCACCTGGATACAGGATAATGCAACATATTTCATACACTTGCTGTGGTTATGCAATAATCTACTTCTTTTTAATACTTCCCTCTTCATTCTATATAAGCTCTCTAGGTAGACCTTGCTTCCCTGCTCAATTACATACATATAGTTACCCATGTCTCTCAACTCTTGTTCTTCATGCATCCAGGGTTGGCCGAGGAGTGCTGGTCCAGAATAATTTGTTCCTTTCCTCTCATCTGTGGCCTTGCCTGTGGGAATAGGAAGTAGAGTGCAGCCAAGGATGACTTGCCGACTGACTTTTTTTGCTGCTTCTTTGAACTTTAGGAAGAGATGAACCAATTAAGTTGGCAGGTTGTCCTTGGCTACATGTTTCTTTCTGCTCCACATGCCAGGCCTTTTGGTGAAATTATACATCAATGAGGCGCTTCTCAACACACCTTTAAGAGGTACTTAATACCATATTATTTGATAGATTTTAATTAGATGTATATTATGCCTCATACAGTATCTGCTTACCTATTTTTTTCTCAAAGTTGAAATTAGCTAATAAGGTACCCTTGAATCAACAGTCAGATGATCGATGAACCGTGGATATCCATGGGTCTTTTGATTTAACATTTTTTGTTGAATAAAATGTTCTAAAGAACCTAAAAGATGGAATTTTTGGCCTATTAAAATTAAGTAAGAGGCCCTCTATAGTCCTCTAGGAATCATTAAGTATCAAGAAGTAGGAAATTAGATTGCCTTGGAAGGTATCATAATTCTATTAGGAAATGTTATACTCTCTCTCTCTTTTGTACATAAAGAGTTTGCTGTTTAACGATAGAATTTGAATCCCTAATCTTACTTTAAATCGAAGTTTTAAAATCGGTAGGTACCAACTCAGTCCAACTCTTAGTGTTATAGTCTCTTTTAGACAGCCATATATGTGTGATTTCTATGACTGTAAGCTTGATCTTAAAGTTACTAATTTACTAATTACTACCCTTCTTTTTGAGAACCAGTATACTTGAACTTACAACAAATCAGTTAATTATGAGAATGAACACATTTAGGAAACAAAAATTATTTAGCTTCACATTTTGGCAATGCTGCAGTGATAAAACAACCAACCTTGATGATGACTACAGGTACCTTCTTGACATCATTGTTAGATCACGGTTTACATTTTGTATTGAGATGATTCTTGTTCTTGATATATTATATAAAGTGAGGTCCTATATTCGAATCCCAAAATCTTATTTAGGTGTTGATTCACTATATGAAAGATTAAGTTTTTTGGTTAAAAGCTTCTGGATATAATACAAACTTACCCAAGTGTGGAAGTTTGGATTTGCAATAATTTAGCGAATGAAAAGTGACATTACATCTTTAATGATTTCATCTCATAAATCTTACAATACTAATTTGGAGTTGTTTACAGTGACTACTCACCTAATAAAAATTCCTTCCTCATAATAGTTCTGGGACCAAAACTGTTAATATAGAGAGTTGGTAAGGCTATGGCATTTCCTATTCCACAAAATGATTGTTCATATTATGTTAACCCCAACCCCCCTCCCTCCATAAATAAAAAGTGGTAGCCGTATGGGTGTAATCATTTTTGGTAATGTGAAAAGATAATGGTAAAAGAAAAAGAGGAGAAATCCAAATACTATATGCCTGTGAACGGAAAATTTGGTAAAGATAGGCTGAAAGCATATTTCTAAACTTTCCACCAACCATGCACCTAATAGATTTAGCCAAACTGTGTGAAGAAGAAAATTTCAAGGTTTATAAATAGATAAATAAGATCAATCTTTTTTTGTAAAAAGAATCTTTTGATATAACACATCAGAGAAATTTATGAATTAAGATAAATAATATCTTATTATGAGATATAATACTAAGGATAGGGAAAAAAAAATGACAAATGCAAAGGAAAAGGAAAATTGCAGAGTGAAAGGTACTCCTTCTTAAATGATAACTACCGGTATATATAGTGCTTTGTTTAATTAGGATGGAACCTCACAATTTAAGTACAGTATATAGGACCCCACTCATAACATCACCAACAAACCCTCAAATTCCATCCTCTCCAGCCCCTAGCATACATTCTACAAAGAAACCATTTCCCCATCTCTTCAAGCCAAAGAATACTCACTCTTGGCTTTAACCTTTGGCTTCTTTTCTCACTTTTGGGAATGTATCTTTCATTGCATTAATAGTAGTACTTGGTACCAAAATTAATACTGCAACTTGCCAGTAAATGTGGCCCTAGATATCACCTGTTCTGCCCACCAAATTCTTCACAAAGTAAATAAATGAGTTCACCATCAACAACCAACTTCTGGTCGCTCCATCTTTATTGCATACAATTTTTTTTTTTTTTTTACATAATGATTAATGCGCTAAGATTTGAAATTTAAGGTTTTGAAATTCTCAACAACATAGATAATTGAATTAAGTTTCATCGTTTATTATAGTCTTGTATATAATTAAGTTTTTTTCAACGCCAATTTAGTCAAAATTAAGTCAACTAAGTCATGTTAAGAGTTTTATAAGAAGATTTTAACTTATAAGAAGATTTTAACAAATGTTTGGATTAATTATTTAAATATAACTAATAACTTATAATTAATATTTAACCGTTTAGAGTTGTTATTTGTAATTTGTTCATTAATGTTTTTCAAAAAAACCAAAACAAACATCCTTAAATGATAAATAAGATTAAAATTCAAACTTCTTTACTAATTAAAGTTACAACCTACTAACTAATTGTGTGTGTTTAGATGATTTATACTAAAAACTATATCAACTTGTAACTCTTAATTTTCTCACCAGACAGGCACAGTGCATTTCCGATATGAATTTGAATCCCAATCAGTAGAGTACTTTTTAGGTAATCTAAAATTATTATTATGCCATCGAATGAATGTCATGAGCTGTAGGGTTTGTTTGTTTCTCGAGAAAAGGTTTTATGTAGCCTTGTCTTTCCCCAAATATTCATGGTACATCACAAAAACTTATTAATTTGACTGGTTTGGATTTTAATGAAAATTAAACCATTATTCAATTTCTTGTTGTCTGTGTACTTTTCGTAAGTTGGAATAGAATTTTCTCAGGTCCATTCATTGGTCTATGTTGCCTTAGTTTTCACACTAATCAATAATAAGAAAAATTCATAAACTCCAATATCAAGACTGCACCACACGGAAAGCGCTAGGTATGGACATTAGGGATATTGTTAAGATCATTAATAATTTATATTTTTTTTTGTTAAATTTTTATTTTTTTTTATTCACTCAATTTGAAAAAAAAATGAAGATATTTTGATATTAAAAATATCAAGATGTCTAATAATAATTACATAATATATAAAATATAATGTGAACTCTCATTTTATTAAATTTATTACGTGATTATTACTGAACGTCTCAATATTTTTAATATTAAAACGCCTTAAAATTTTCTTTTCCTTTAAAACTCATATATTTTTCTAATTCTGTTCTCATCAGTTTTTCTTTTTCTTTTTTTGAGTAAAGAAGTAATTTAACAAAATAAAAATTCCAATATTGGTGGCCTAAACGTTGTCCCTGGTGGCCAACAAGAGGCCCACACAGAATTTCGAGCGGATGAGGTTGGTGTGTTGCTAAAGAAAGGTGAAAAAAAAGCCCCATTAATGGAAAAGTTACTGTGAGAATCTCCTATTTTTAACATTGTTTCAGAAGAGTAAAAATGAATCAATGTGGCCCTCACAGCAGTCATTATTCATGCAGAAGAAGAAGAAGAAGGAGGAGGAGGTAGGTCCTCTCCTTTGTCAAGAAGCTATAAGCCAAATTTTTTTAGAGAAGAAAGCTATGAGCCAATAATGATGATTGTATATAGCATATGAAGGAAAATGTTTTCCAGCTTCATGCATTCACATGGGGTTTCAGAGAAAATTTAGTTAAAGAAAAGGGTTATTAACTATTAAGTAGGTACTACCATCTCAAGTAGAAAAACAGAAATTATTATCTCTTTCTTCAGCATAGAATCTATTCAGAGAATTCAACTTACTCTTTTTCTCCTCCTTCTTCATGTCTTCCCTGACACATGTTTTGAGATTGCAATTTTTTTTTTAGCAGTGGGGAAGCTGTGAAGTTCTAAGTTTTCAACTGGGAATGTTCATGGTATTCTTCCTTTTCTTCTCTCTGCTTCACAAGCCATAATATTCATTCTTGGTATTCTTTCTTCATGTCAGTTTGCATCTTGTCTTTTTATTATCTGTGTTGAACTTTTTTGTAGCTGAAAACGAGGAGAAAATAAATATTATATGTATGTTCCTAAAGGAAAGGGAGAAACAATGTAATTATGTCATTGATTTTGCTATTCACCACTGAATGTAGATTTTCAGCTCTTCCTGCAGTAGAAATATATGAAGAATATGGATTCGAAGAAACCTATTCGGAACCTCACTGACACAATTCATTCTTTACTGGGACTCAAGTCACATTTAACCTCTGCCTGGGTCAAGTCAGTATGTGATATAATAAAAAATCTACCCCATGAAAGATCAAGAACAGATGCTGGGAAAAGTAAAGATGATAAATCTGGCACTGACATTTCTAAAATTAAAGGCAAGCAGTTCATTTTCATGCACTCTGAGTAATGCATTATGTGCAGACAGTTTCATATCTCAGTTTATTGACACTCTCATTCAAACCTTCCTCTAACTTTTCTGGCTACCTGTGGGCAGAAGAACTCGCCACCTTAACTGCCAGCATAAACCAGTTGAGTATACAGAGGAGGCAGATCTTAAATGAGTTATTGGACTTGAAAGGTTAGTTTATCTCTATCTCAAAAGCAACTAATTATCAAATATCAATCTAGTTTAGAAAGAAGACTTTGAAACTAGTTCAGTGAGAGCTTTGTTTTTCTAATTATCATGCAACTAATAATACCACTATCTGTCAGAATTTCTGCTTCCATGGAGTCTGATAAAATTCTTAATCTAATTTCCTGTAAGATGTCTTAACATCTAATTTCTGTCATTACAGGAAATATTCGTGTATTTTGTCGCATAAGACCTATCACACTGGGGGAGAATTTTGGTCGTCTAAGACCTGTTGTTGCTTTGGATTCAAGTAATGTTCATCTAAAACTTGCTGACAATAAAACCAAAAGTTACAGTTTTGACAAGGTGTTCCACCCGGGTTCATCACAAGGTACACTCCAGATTTTCTCTGTGATTTTTCATTTTCTTGTTCTATTCTGGATGGCAGACAGGTGCAAAAATGAATTTATTAGAGGCAGATGCTTGAATTATTCAACTATCTGTGTCAAGACAATTGATTTGAAAATGTCAAAATTCCAGATGAAGTGTTTTCAGAAGTTGAACCAGTTATCAAATCCGTCCTGGATGGTTACAATGCATGCATTTTTGCTTATGGTCAAACAGGAACAGGGAAAACCTTTACAATGGTAAGGACAACCTATTGTTATAATACAGATCATAACATAACTAGTAATCAAGTAAATATGCTGTCTAACATCCAGAATTTTAGAACATGGAGACCTCAAAGTAAGAAATTTCCTGATCTGTCTAATCCATATATAATCAAACTGCATGGTTGTTCTAACAAAATGACTAATTTTTAAATAGTTATAGCAAGTTAAAGCCATTATTTACCTGGAATAGTAGCTCATCAGCATCCAAGTTATAAGGGTTTAGATGTATTTTCAACATTTGTAAATTTACTTGTTTTCTGTCCAAATTTGCAGGAAGGCACTCCAGACTCTCCAGGAATTGTGCCCCGTGCAACAGAGGCACTGTTTAAGCAAGCAGGTGATAGCAATCATGCATTTATCATCACTTTCAGTATGCTTGAGATTTATTTGGGAAATCTCAAGGATTTGCTTGTACCTCAGCCAACAAAACCAACAGATCCTCTGCCCCCATGGTGAGTAGGCAGTTTTGTTAGTCCAAACTTCAATGCTGTTACGAGAACCTTAAGAGTCTCTGCTTGCAGCCTCTCAATTCAAACAGATCCAAATGGAGGGATTGAAATCGAGAACATAGTGTCCATCCAAGTAAATGACATCAACCAAGCTCTCAAGCTGTATAGATTAGGATGCCGCTCCAGATCGACTGCCACAACAAATTCAAATGCAACTTCAAGCAGATCTCACTGGTAACTGCCTTTACTGACTATAACTGTTAGGAACATGTAGGGCTTGGACTATCCAATTCAGTTCTAAAGGCCCTAAAGCAAACTGGAGCTTGACAATCATAATAAGCAACCAAACTGCCATGAGATCCCATACTAATTCTGAAACCGTTTCATCTTTCTGTTGCTCCTGTTAGCATGATCCGCATATCAATCACTTGCTTTGATGCTCCTGAGAGGAGACGAGAAACAAACAAAATTTGGTTAGTTGATCTTGGTGGAAGTGAGCGTGTGATGAAGACAAAGGCATGGGGAAGAAGACTTGATGAAGGAAAGGCAATTAATTTATCTCTTTCTGCTCTTGGAGATGTAATTAACGCCCTTCAAAGGAAAAAGTGTCACATACCCTATAGGTAAGCATAAATCTACAATAACTTCAAAAGGCCTTTAGCCAATTACTTAACTGTATGAAATTATGAATAATTTTTGCCATCCAATTCTTAGCAAGGGCACTGCTCAATTAGAGTGACTATGATGAAGTGCTCGTACTGTTAATCATAGCAATCTATCTTAATTACAATATCTATTATTGGTAACAAAAGAAGAAATATAAAGATTTTCAAATAGTTATCTCTCATATTGTCTCTATTGCTACGTACTAAGAACTAGATATCTGGTGTCATGTCCCAGGATTGCATAGCATGCTTTATTAAATTTCAAGTTTTTACTTCTGACAGGAATAGCAAGCTGACACAAGTTCTCAGGGATTCCTTAGGTAATTGACTCTTCCAAATTCCCTTCTTTTTTTTTTAATTTTTCTTTGGAAAAAAAAAAAGAAAGAAAGAAAAAGGAAAAAAGAGTTCCACATTTTTCATTTATCTAACTATTCACTTAAAGATAAAAAGTTCCAATAGAAACTACTAGACCCTATTTTATTTATCCCATGTATAACAGTACATATGCACAGATCTTTTCTTGTTTGTCACGGGGTAAGACTGAGGATGCTTCTATAAGTGCATAGGAAAATTATTACAAACTAATGTGCTCTAATGAAATGGAATTCCTATAAGATGTGTGTATGAGGATGTTTCTTTACGGTTCCCTGTTATTCTTTACAATTCAAATCTACCTTCTTATCTATAGGTGAAGATTCAAAAACCCTTATGCTTGTCCATGTCAGCCCCAAAGAAGAAGATTTATGTGAAACAATATGTTCTTTAAATTTTGCAACAAGGGTGAAAAGCGTTCACTTGGGGCATGAGGAGTCAACTGTAAGTTATCTTGTCTGTACTTCATTCCATCCCTTTGATGCATAAAGCTTTTCAGTCTCCTGCTACATTCTTCTTATACCCTCATTGTGATCACTGAGATGAACTACTGATTTATTTTGGGCCATGAACTACTTCAGGAAATAAAAAGCCAGAAGGAGAATGAAATGATGAATTTGCAGCAGAAGATGGAAAAAATTGAAGATGAACGCCTACATCTTAGAAGACAGATCAAGAAATTAAATGAAAAACTAGAAAATCTTACAGGAACAGCAATGGAAGAGCAACTGGAAGCTTCCCATTTTTCTACCCAAGGGTCATTTATTGACCTTAACATGGTCAATAAAAGGAATGAAAATGTCAAACCAGCTTCCTCATTCCAGCTACCTAGATTTATGAGGTCAACTATTTGCAGTAGAAGAAAATCAGGAATGGATCATCAAACTTCATCAGGGAGAGATCGAGTCTTTTCAAAAAGTAGAAGGCCGTTATCCCACCGTGCTGAGTCAGTAACTTTGCCTGTGAAAAATTATTCAGGGTACAAGTCAGATTGCAGCATTTCAAAATCTACCTGTATGCTGGAATTGAACATGAAAACCAGTGCTGACAATGAGACAGAATACAGCCAAGATGCATCTGAATGTGATATAAAAATGATCGTATGCCCTGAAAAGGAAAAATCACATTGGACAACAGTTAGTCAAAAAGGCCAGCTTGGTCACCTCTACAGCAATGGAGGCCAGAGATTAAGAAAAAGCAGCTCCAAGCAATTGTTGAAGGTTGACAACTGGCTTGACCTGAATAAGAATGAGCCTCCTATCAGTGGTTATGCTCCTAGGAACAAGCAGGTACTAGCCATTCCTCTCCCAGAGAAGAAACATGGAAATAGAGGACAGAAGACTTCTACCTATAGCCTTGCTACTGAAAAGATTGTCAACCAAAATAACATGGAGAGGCAGTTTGATATCTTCACAGGTGGAAGGACTGTGTCAGGGGTGGTTACTGACAAACCACCCACATTAAAGGATTTATTGTATGAGGAATCAAGATCTAGCTTTATTATTCCATCTCATGCAACGAATGATCGGACACTGATGCAATCACAGAACTTATTAGAAGGCTTATCTATGGAGGATGATGAATGTGGAAGTCCTTCCCTGTCTGATATTTCCTGTGGAGGCCTTCAAGAGTATGATGATGAAAATGAGGTCTCAGAAATGTATGGGATGCAAGCAGTAAAGGACCTGGCACAATGTTCAGAGGGTTCCATGTTAAAGAATAGTGGGCACCAGTTTTCTCCATCTGAGTTGGATAACAGTATCATTGACTCAAAAGAAGATACTGCTGTTTTCACCCCAGAATCAGAAGAGAAATGGCACTGTGAAGAAGTGCATTCCAAACTTGGTATGGAAAACAGTAGAGAGGAAGACACAGATGCTTCCACTGAATCCCCATCAAAAGGGACAATAACAACCTCATGCAGACCAAGATCTCAAAAAAAACTATTCATGGATGACAGAAATCAGGAGCTAACAGTAACACTTGTTAAATCACAAGGAATTACACAGAGAAGAGGTAAGAAGTTTTGAGGCCTAAACCAAAGACTGTCAGAATATGAAACTACAGAAAACAACTTATGATTCCTCAAGTCTTAATCCATGATTACAAGTTTTCTCTTAATGTCTTTTTGCCAGGATCATATAATATTCTTAAACATAAAGTTCAACTTTCATGTGCCACTGCTCTTCTAGGATTGGGATTGCTTGACTTGGGATTTGATGATAACTTCTTCTACGGTTTGATGCTTTGAGGCAGCTCTAGTAGACAAAGGAGGCAGAAAAGAATCCTGTAATTAAATGGAAGTCATCAGCAAAAAAGAGATATGGAAGTCTTCATTCCAATAAAGCAAGTCCCCACCTATATGCAAGTCTTAATCCCAATAAAGCAACCATGAATATTTGTATACTTATGCAGAGAAAGTGAGAAAGGTATGTGGCTCATCTACATTGTCCTAAAATGAGTCTTTGCAGATTTTACTAGGCATCCAAAGACACAAGAGAATCACAAAGTTATGTGCCCATCATGCCTTGTGAAAGCTATTCTTTCTGTGTAAGTGGTAACCCTGTAAATAGCAACCATGTATTTATCACTAGCATATTAGTGTGCAGGGAGCTCATCCTGATGCTCCTAATTTACCAAAGCAAGTGTAATGGTGAGTTAATCTTCCTTAGTGAATATTTATCTTCTACTATGATTTCATTTTGTTTTTCCTAATACATCCATGAGATGACCTGAAAGTCCAAAAAGCAACAGAAACTCCTTGTTCAAGGACTTTATCAACATAATGCTGAATCAGTTATATGTCGAAGGTTTGTCCACCAATCTAAACATATTTTACCATGAAGTTCATAAAACTTCTCCTAGAGAATGAAATGGAATAGGCAATCAGCAATTTCATGTCCAGGATAATATAAATATGGCCTTTACCACACAATGTTAAAAGTTTTCCATCCATGAATGTAAAACATGATATATCCTCTTTCT